CACGACTTGACACAAATTAATAACACCCACTCAGTCCATCTGCGTTGAACTGAAGGAGCCAGGGAGGCCGACACCAGCAAGCACTCTGCAAGGAGAGACAGCGAGGGACCCCTCCCTGTGTTCCACACGGGCTTTACTGAAATCTCAGGCATGACAGCACACAGCACAGTGGTAAGCTTCAAAGAGAGTCAAGGTTAAAAAACAAGTTTTCTTCATGATTTAACTCTTAACACATTGTTTACTGCACTTCTTTCTTGTCACTACTCAATATGACTTAGAGTTAGGACAGTGTGCTGTGTCTAGCATTAAGTTTATAACCATGCATCTATTACCATGTGGTACACAATATCATTTTTCTTTTTTTTTTTTTGCAGTTTTTGGCCAAGGCTGGGTTTGAACCCACCACCTCCAGTATGTGGGGCCATCGCCCTACTCCTGTAAGCCACAGGTGCTGCCCCACAATCTTTTCTTTCAGAGAATGGCATTGGAAACATGAATGCCACTTTGCAAAGTTCAGAATTTGCAGTGATGCAGTTCCAGTTACCACATCTCTTTTGACCTGGTCCTTGTCCTTCCCATCCAGTATGTTCAAAATCTTTTAGAGTCAAGATTTTTTGTATCTTGTTTCAAAGACTGTCAATGAACAGTTTAGACCTTGAGATTCTCCAGACCTCCATATTACATACAATACACTTGCCTTGAAGTTTAAAAGTAGCATATACTGATGAAGTCATTGATATCTAGATATCCACATTCTTTTTCCATGTTAAATTCCTGCCTCAAATGAGATTGCTTTCCTGGATCTTAGCAGCCCTTGATGAATTCCCTGCTGCTCAGATAACACATCCCTGAAGGTAGGCCACATGCCAGTGCCTTCTTGGCGCCAGCCGGTCACTTGCTAAACCTCACCTTGGGCTGACATCTGCTGAGGCCATCCAGGTCAGCATTTGGATCAGCCCCTCCCATATTTTGTGCCTTTGCTGAAGCCTGTGTTTCTCCATGACTTACTCCAAAATCTGCTGCTTTGTTGAGGCCTGCACATCTCTGCATTTTTTTTTTTCCACATCTCTGCTTTTAAAACTTAAGCTACCCGGAACTTCAGGTCAAAATTCCATGTGCCTTAATGTTTAAAGCCCATTGCAAAAAATGAAGCAATTAAAAGCCTACTGCACACTTTAAAAAAATCAGATTAATGGCCTTAATACAAGTCTCTACAAACTACTAAGATCAAACTCCCTGTGTGCACATTAAAGTCTAAAGCCTGAAATCACAAGCTCTGGTCACAGCAAAGCCTGTGTGCCCTTTCAAATTTCATTCCTGTTTTATTTCTTGAACTGATGCACGCAGCTCACATTTTTGTGCATCACCTGTAATACAGGCCTCTTCCCTGGTCTACCTCCATCTCTCTCCACCCTTCAGTAGAGCCTGTTCCACCTGCAACTCAGGTCCTCTTCTCGAACTTAACATTTAGGTATCACTCTCTCTCTCCTGGGTAGAAAAAGTGGAAAAGGCTCATATATAACCATCGCGTCTCCTTCACATGGAATGGAAAAGAGAGAAATGTTAGCTCCCATCTGTAATAATATTATACGTACATATATTTTGTTAACTGATTTTTAGATTGATAAATACACAAGCTTTCTCCCCTTGTAATTTTCCTCATGCTATCTTCATTTCTAATCTTAACCTTAAAGGCTTTTCTTAGATGCTATTTCACCCATGAAACTGATTGCTTCAACAAAAATCTTTCTTCAAAGTCCTGGTCTGAAGCTTTGTGAAGTGTAGTATAAAGATCAATCGTAACAGAATCACTGGTTGCCTGTGATTCCACTTCCATTATTGAACTCATTTACAATATTTAAATAATATTCAGGTTTTACTTTAGATCATATAAATCTTTCACCTTTTAGAATATTTAAATCTATAGGGCCTGGGCCCTAAAATGTGCATTTTAAGAAGCTCCTTGGGTGATTTTTTTCTGCATTAAAGTCTGAACCTTTTGTTTTATACCTGATTATCAGGAACTACTTGTTGCCCTGTTATGTCATGATTGGCATTTACCCCTCCGTAAAAACTTTTAACAGAATAATTCTTTAACATGAAACTTTCACACAGTAGCTCCTCTTAAAAGATTTCCCTCCAAGTTTTATCATGATCATTAAAGTGTCTAGAACTATATACATAAAATCATTACAAGACAATTTATTGAAATATTTCACTGTGTATAATAATATATTGCCTTTTCCAGTGTAGCCCAATTTAGGCATCCTGAGCTGCTTATTTTAAATGCAACATAGTACACTGAAAATTAAGCATTGTTTTTCTACACAATAAAAAGTTCAAGCTGGGTGTGGTGGCACATACCTACTGCCCTGGGCCTAGCTACTCAGGAAGCTGAGGTAGGATTGAGTCCCAGAATTTAAGGCAGCCTAGGCAAGATAGTAAAACCCATCTCTTAAAAAAAAGAAAAAGTAAGTTCAGGGCTTCCTATGCATCTCCTACTGCTTAGGAGAACATCTGCCTTGACTGCAAGACAAGAGAAGCAATTATCCCAGTAGTTTCCCTCAGCTCACAGGCTACCAAGAGGGATGACACAGTGACATGTTCTTACGGTAAAGGGTCCCACAAGATTTGGAAAGCTGATTCTTACTGTGACACTGCTGGGATTCCATCATTATTTAAAAGGTCTTACAAGAACAAGCTGTGAACTTCCACTTAAGAATGTGTTTATAAACATCTCATTCTCTTGAGTTCATAAGCTAAGTTGTTTTATGAAGAACACCTCCTAAATTGTGGGTGCAGAAGGTTATTTCAGCATCCAGGTATCTGGAAAGTCCAACCCCCATAATATGGACTTAATTTTAAATCAATCAACCATTCAATCAAGGGAAGTCTTTGCCTGTTTCATCATTAAAATGAATTTTAAAATCATATAATGGATTACTAAATTGAAATATTTCACTGAAAGCTCTGCTCCCTTTTCAAAACACTTTATTTTATACAAATTTCCTATGATACCAAAGTATTACATGATTGACCATGTTTCCCAAATAGAAGGTTCCTTCAGTTCTCCAGGCCAGCCTTCCTTCAGAGGCAAATAAATAAGAAATATGTCATATTATGTAGAATATATTAAAAAAATTTCTTTTACATGATAACAATATTTGGATTTTTATATACAGTTTAGCAATCCAGTTTGTTGTCAAATTTAATTCACTATCAGAAGGTATCCACTATACCTACAAAAGAACTCAAAACACAATAGACATTTTAAACTATAAGCACAAAAGGTCTGATTTAATTTTTTTCTTGTATTTTTTTAAGAAGATACTCCATCTGTAAATTCAAGTTTGGCTGACCTTTTTTGGTCTTTTTGCTTAATATTTTGAACACTTCCATTTTCTTCTTTTTGTAGCGCCTTTGAGCTTCTTCTCTCTCCTGTTTTCTCCTCTCAAATTCCTGAAATTAGTAATAGTTGTAGATTTCATTAGTAACAAACAGTAGATACAGGTTTAGAATTGTGTTGAAGTAGCTCTCCCCATGCAAACACTGTAAGTTTGTTTCTTACAGTCTGAAAAGTGTGAATTCTTTCCTGTAATTGAAGCAGTGTATCCTCCTTTCCTTCACACAATGACACAAGTCATAACAGAGACTAAAGTGAAGTTATTAAACAACTTTAATCATTTGTATGCAACTAAAACTAGAGTGCAGTAAATACATACGTTGTACATATACACTTTGTGTAATGATGTCATCATGTTAATTAAATCCACTGAATGTTAGAAGGGCTTTTAGAGGTTATTGCCTCTCATTTTCCATATAACAGTAAAAACTTCATTTCTAGAAACCTGTATCTGTTTTT